AAGTGTTTGTTTGACATTTCCTGCATCTTTACAACATTGTTAGTTGATTTTGTAAAAATGATGTTAAACTTGTTATTGTGTATTGTGTAATAAAGTTTCAAAAATGGAAATAAACTCATATCATTACAGTTTGTCAGATTGAATCATTCACTATGTTCAGAATCTCAGAATGGAAGAAATTGGACATTTAACACTATTCTATTGATATTTTTCCCATCTCATCAATTTTCTTAGTTGATCATATAAAAATGGCAGTAAACTGTTAATTTTGTTTTATGTTAAAAATTGTTAAAAATGGAAATAAACCCATTTCAGAACAGTGCTGTCTTGTTTACATTTTGGCATTTTCAAGTTGTGGCTTTGAAGTTCCATGGGCCTGAAGACCTTTGCTTGTCACATTTTCTAAATATCCATGATACTAATATTTTATTCTTAAAAATTGATGGTCATTATGCTGTTAAACATTATGTAATATTGCATCAAAATTTGAAAAAAAGCCTGTTTTGGGCACTGCTCCCATGATGACCATTTAAGAAAAACCATGTCACTTACTGTTCTCAAACAGTACAGTAAATATGTACAGATGTGTCTGTACTAGTGCCATCACCTGCGTCTGTCGTCGCCGTCATTGCCGTTGCCGGCACCTTGCACTTTCATTGTAAACACGATAAGTGGAAGGCAGTTTTACTTTTGGGCTTTATATTTAAAGAGCTGGGCCCAGTTTTATAAAGGATGTTTAGCACTAACCAGTGGATAAGCCTAACCAGTGAATAAATTCCCCTAACACCCATTAACTAAAAGATGGTTAAAATGTGTTTTATATACGGTCTTCTGACGGAAAACAGCCAATTAGTTAACTGGCCAGTGTTTAACTGGATTAAATAATTATTTAAAGGTCAGTTTGCTAACAGACTATTTAGGTCTGGTTAGAGTTAAACACTGGTTAGTGCTAAACGTCCTTTATAAAACTGGGCCCTGATGAATATTCATAGAACGCAGGTCAAGTTCGAAAATCAGGATCATCGGGCCATTATTGTAGAAGTTATGCTTTTTTCTTTCACTTTTCAACATATATGCAACACTGTAAACACATTTCAAGGAAAACCGATAGGCCTGTTGTCGTGAAACTCTCAGGAGTAAACGATCTTACTAAAACGGAGGTCAAGTCCGAAAATCGGCATGCAGCCCGAGTTGGAAAAGCAGTCTAATTGGCTTCTTTTTCTGGAAGTTATACATTTTCAAAGTGTGAACTTGAACTCTCATGGGCCTGAAGCCTTATGCTTGTTACACATTTTACTTTCATTAGTATTACCTGTTGAGCATAATTAAAATTTGATGTTGAATTTACAGTTAAACATAATGTACTTTTGCATCAGAGTTGACAGTAGCCTATTTTGTGCATAGTTATTTCCTGCTTTTTGTCTGTACATTTGACAGCTTTGCTGCCTTGTTCATTTTAGCCAATGGGTGGAGGTGGTGGGAGCGGCGGACGTCGCAGCCAGCAGAAGCCGCAAAAGGAGATTAAGATAATCCGCAGTGTGCAGATCAGTCAAGAGGCTCAGCTCAAACCCACCGAGAATGCTTGGAAACCTGCCAAAAAGGATAATAACAAAGAGAAAGATGAGGAGGCCAAGACAGAGGTTAGTCATTCGTCTTAAAAATATTTTTATGGAGGACAGAGAGGAAAAAGTAGGAAAAGCCAAAGATAAGTCAGTTAAACAAAAATAGTATGAGTAAGGGCAAATGAAGGTGTTTCAAATGGATTGTATCATCTTTGCTCTGTGACTTCCAAAGTGTGTTCTCATTGTATTGTAGAGATACCTTACTCAATGAGAAATTTGAAGCTGATGATGAGAAAAAGTTATCCCTGTCAGAACAACAGGTGTTGAAACATGAATTCCTCGTTTATGAAGCTTCGTGTAATAAAATGTTAGGATGTTGATTTGAATGTCACCCATTTAGAATCTTCTCTCCTCAATTGCTGTATCACACTTTCAACAACCATGCAAAACGTTGGGTCTCCAATACTTATCATAAAATTATTCTTTGCAGGACTTACTGAGGCGTGTACGAGGTATTCTTAACAAGTTAACGCCCCAGAAGTTTGCTGTGTTGATGGAGCAGATCCTGCAGCTCCCCATTGACTCTGAACCCAAACTCAAGGGTCTCATTGACCTAATATATGAAAAGGTAAGATATTTAAACCCTAAACTATTTCTCTTCTTCGGGAGGATATTTTTAAGACTAAGTAGAGGATCTAATTGTTTGTAAAAAATTTTGATCAGAGCCCAAATATCACCATGTTTTCATGGCATATGATATGATATGGAGGAAGTAAAGAAAGCAGGTGTTCTGATTTCTACTTTGATATATTTCAGGCTGTGGATGAGCCCAACTTCAGCGTTGCCTATGCAAACATGTGTAAACATTTGGCCAGGGTGAGTATAAAGAATGCATGAGAAAATAAGAGAGAAAAAAGAGACAATGTGTGTGTTTGTCTGTGTACATAATGTGTATGCATGACAAAGAGAGAGAGAAGAAAATGAGACAGCATTTGTGTGTGTGTGTGTGTGTGTTTTGACTGTTTTCTTAAAGAATTCTAACTGTCACTGGTTTTGGTCATATTTCTTATATCTTATAGAAATAAGGGAAAAAAAATTATTTCATTTGTAGAAATGTATTGAAGCTGATGATGAGAAAAAGTTATCCCTGTCAGAACAACAGGTGTTGAAACGTGAATTCCTCGTTTATGAAGCTTCTTATGCTCAAATTTCAATTCTTTGTTCCCACATAATCAAAGCTCATTTTGAATTATTTCATTTAAGATAGAGTTACTAAGAAGTGGTATAGAATTTCTTAGAATTGAGAATAAAGTTACTAGAAAGTGGTATTGAATATCTGGGAATCGAGGTTTTTAGTTACTAGAAAGTGGAATTGAGGGTTTTATAACCTCTCTGTGTACTTTCAGCTCAAGGTGCCAGACGAGGCAGGTACAGGGAGAGAGGTGAACTTTAGGAAATTATTGCTCAACAAGTGCCAGAGAGAATTCGAGCAGAATAATGAAGATGAGACGGAGAATGAGACAGAGAAGCAAAAGAAGCTTAAAGAACTCGAAGAGGCTGATACGGTAAAAGACATCTCAAAATATTAATTTTCTTTTGAATTAACCTCTTAGAGGAGTTATTGGTGAAAATACTCCTTTAAAACTGATTAAGATTGATCTTTTTCATCTATTCAAGAAACTATATTCAGGCAAATTAACTTCATTGGATTTTAATACAATTAAGATAGTAAAATCTGTATTTTCATTCTTTAAAAACGTCATTTGACTTTTTCAGGAGGAGAAGTAAAATCTGTATTTTCATTCTTTAAAAACATGTCATTTGACTTTTTCAGGAGGAGAAGAAAAAACTAATCCAGATGCAGATAGATGAAAAAGAGATGAAGGCTAGGAGGCGGTCCCTGGGAAATATTAAGTAGGTTATCCATAAAATTTGCACTATGTGTAGTTCTAGTTGAAAAGGTCCATTGCCGTTCACCAGTGCCCCCCACCCCTCCACTCACTCACTCTCTCACATGCACACAAACTTGCGCGCGCGCGCGCACACACACACGCACGCACGCACACACACACACACACACACACACACACACCTAATGTATGAAGGAGTGGCTATATATATATCATTGTCTTCAGCTTTTGATGACATATATTGCATGAGCCCTGATGGCAGATACATACAGAATAAAAATTGTATAAATAATTCATGGACGTATAATGGATTGTAATGTTAAAAATCCATAGAGAAAAAAATGACTGTTCACTCAACCTTTGCCATCTTTGTTTCAGATTTATCGGTGAATTATTCAAGCTAGAGATGCTCACAGAGGCAATTATGCACAACTGTCTATTTAAGCTGCTGAAGGCGGGTGATGAGGAGTCTATAGAGTGTTTATGTAGACTAATGAGTACCGTAGGCAAACTAATAGATCACCCCAAGGCAAAGGTGAGGCTGGTTGTTGATGTCTTTGCTGATTTCAATGACTATTTAACCCTCTTTTGGAAGATATCCAGCTCAAAAAGACTTGTAATTCTAGGAAGTTGTAGAATTTTGTGTTTTAACAGTAAAGTGTTAAGCACTGGTAGAACTTATGGGGTTCTTTATCAGTTATGTCTCTGCTGATTTGGGTGAGAGTCTGATGAAGAGGAGGTCTCTGCTGATTTGGGTGAGAGTCTGATGAAGAGGGGTTGAGATTTTGGAATGGTGCAGAATTTTTGTGGTTAAATTTTAAAAATTTGTTGAATGTATTTGGGGAGAGAGGTTTTATAAGCAGCTTTCTCCTCTTTAATCTTTGTTACAGTTTGTAAGGCTTTCAATAAATTTATATTTTGTCAAAATCAGCGGTTCAAAACAGAAAAGATTAAAGAATTAGGAGATGAAATAAATGAAAGATTTAAAAAGTATGGACGTTGAATCAGCAAATTATTAAATTTTAGCTCTTATTCCTGATTACAGCCCAAAGTTGACCAGTATTTCAACCGTATGAACCAAATAGTCCAGCAGAGGAAAACCTCCTCCAGGGTGCGCTTCATGCTCCAAGATGTGATAGATCTGAGGCAGGTCAGTGGTCTAAAGATGCTGGAAACCTTCAGTCAGAACTTGGTTGATTTTGTATATTTTTCTTGAAATGTCTGTTCAGTTGCTTGTGTCTGTAAAGATAATGGAAAAGTGATTTGTTTTACTATTGTGTTTTCTTATATTGTTCAAATGCATGCTCAGTGGACGTCACATATTAAGTCACCTTGTGCACTTCAAATTTTGCTTTACTAGTATCATGACCATAATGATTAAGTGTAATTACATGGCAGTAAGAAATGTGAAATAGGTTAAAAGTCAGTTAACCCATTTCAAAAGAGACCAAGTATTTTTAGCCGTGAGACAAGATGTATGGTCTGTGCAACAAAGTGCCTCCGTCACCAGACTGGCTTGTCCATACTTGAGTTACTTGTCTGGAACCCACATTGCCAGTAGAAACATCAAATACAATAAACAATGAAAATCAGTGTAGAATAAAAACCAATTTAGTACAGGAAATTGAGTTTACATAGGAAAATGATACTTAAAAGAAGGACATACGACAAAAATGTGGTACATGGTACATATAGTACTATAATGTAAGTGAAAAAGTATATATCAGCATATATATTTATATATATAGAAGAAGGTGTGTGAGTGTGTGTGGGGAAAAAATGTATATTACTACATGTATCTTGTGAACGTCAAT